TCCTGGATCTGTATTTAAGGAAATAAAGCTTGTAACCATCTTTTCTGAATACCTTATGTGAAGTTGAGTACCATGAATGAAAGATTCTGGCATAACACTTATATGAATATTCCACTGACAGGATCATTTCCTTTGTTCTCCTCCCCTGTATATGCTGAAATATAGTTGTTGCACTCAAAGCGATGCACATACCAGATTTGTCAGTACATGGTGTCTCAAAACTGAGTTGTACTCTGGAAAGGCATTCTCTGTTGCTTAAGAGCACAAAGCTGACAGAGCTTACCATGCCTCATTATGGAATTGTTCATGGCCTCTAAAAAGGAAATCCCTTTTTGAATTATAGTTAAAGCAATGAATAGAGTTAAACTTGCAGCTATTAACTCACAAAAAGAATTTATTAGAGAATCTCAAAATAAAGATGTCTAGAGATTCCAAGTTTTAAGTCATTGAGGATTTATCAAATTTTAAGTCAATTTGATTTCTAATAAACCTGAACATTAAGAACTATTCTCAGGACTTTGCTTTGGGAATAAGAAGAAGAAAAAAAAAAGAAAAAAAAAAAATCAGTGGGACTTAGGTGCAGTTGTCCCAAATGGAGAATTATAGAAAATGGGTCTGATCTTTGCAGTAAAATAAATAGCTTCATTAGCAATATTAGATTTATGGGAGAGAATTGAGCTAATATTTTAAAACCTAATAAATGATAATAATCCATTCACTCCCCTGAATAATTCATTATTTTTAAGTCTCGTATGTTTTTGTCACATAAAAAATTGTGCAGATCAAGTGACTCTTTTTAATAGGAGCATTCTTTGTAATGTCAGTTGAGTAGAAGAAAAGTATCCAAAATAAAAAATGCAGAGGATGTTTCAAAAAGTAGGATTTGAAAAATTATTTCTTGCGATGCAGAAATGTACATTCATCATCTGCCAATGGAAAAAAGAAAAATTATCATCCCATCTACAGTTGCTTTTAAAGTGCTATATGAACATAACTGTAGCTCCCTGTGAGTGTATTGAACTGTATGAGATGACCACGTGCTGTTACCATGGATGAAGGTAATTAATATCTATGCAATTATGGATTTTAGTTATAGAGTATGATTATAGCTTTTTGCCCATTTCTGTGTTAAAAGAATAATGGTGCTGGTTATTTTTCAAACAGCACTTTTCTTGAAACTTTTCTCCTTTGGATTACTGTATAATAAATAACCCACAAATCTGTTGCACTAAGAATTCAAAATACTGAAAAATAACTAGGGTGAACCTAGAAGTACTTTTACTCAACTTGCACAAAATTTCGTAGACTTATAAATGCTTTTTTACTTGTATATCTGAACATAAAGTGCTCAGAATCAAGACATTTTTTTTCACTTTCCCTTCATGTAGGATTAATCTTATATATTCTCTTTATCATGTAAATTCAAGACCACTTTATTGATGATTATAATTGTTTTTGTGATGAACCTCCATTTCATCAATCAACGAAAGTCTACATTTTAATGCCTCATGATAGAGAAGCTAAAAAAGTATCATCAGTAATAATTCTTACTTTACTGAAGAAATGATCTACAAACTACATAATGCTCTCCTAAAGGTAATTTTTTAATAACCATCTACCTACTAACATAAAAAAATCATCTTGTTATATATTTTCTCATTATTCACAAATGATTTCTCTAGTGATTGAAAAATATTACATGTATTTCTATTTGGAGCCAAACATGTCATTTCTTTTCTTTTTTGCACTGAATGGAGCATTTAGGGTTATCTGTACTTATTAACACTAGAATTACGATGGTCTTCGTATACCTAGAATTACGACGGGTGTCATTTTGACCTCTTGATAAGATATCTGCATATTTCTCTATATGATATAATATATTTGTGAAAAAGAAATTTAAAAAACGCAAATTATGACAACTACAGTTCATTTTAAAGAATATAGAGACTTTGCAGGTATGCAGTCAAATAATGAACGAGCATTTAAATATTTCCATCGGAAAATGTTTTTTTTCCCCCCCCCCCATTTTCGATAGCTTACATTTCAGAAACATAGAAAATAAAATGTCTAAATATTTATGCAAATGTTTAAAAAAAAAAAGTGGTTTTTTAAACCAAATATTGAAGTATTTTAAAACAAACTTTTTGCTATAAAGAGTACACAAAATATATAGAGAAATATTTACAAATAATATATTAGTCAGTGCAGCAATTAGCACAAACGCTTATCTTTCTGATTTTTTGTGTACAATTATCCGCATACATATTTATTACAGTTGTCGCAAATATTAGAAGTTTTGTTACCTTTGCATTTCCTCACTTGACATTTCTTTCTTTTTTTTGATTCTATTGAATCTGGTCCATCCACAAAGCCACTTGAAGAGAGAACAAATTCGTTTTTACTAGATATATATTCTTCTCTTAATTCTTCTGCCAAACGCAATAGAAATCCCTTCTGCTGCTATTTTCTTTAGTAACTTCCTTAAACAGAATCCACACATTTATGCCTGCTAAGTCCAAAATATTATAGAATACATGTACTGGCCAACGGCGTGATGGTGCTTTCACGGAGTACTTTCTTGCCATTTGATCGAAAACATCTACCCCGAATTTTGTAGAATTGTAAAACTGTATTACATCAAGAACCTTCTATTCATTAGATTCAAATTCAACTGATGAATTGAGTGTACTTAACAAAATTACGTTTTTGTTCCTTTTACCTTGATATGATGTAAGTATTATATAGTCATGTTTCATCACAACTGAAGAAAAAAAAGTTCGTTTCTTACATTTTTGAAACTAGAGGGAATTTCCCTTTTTGCGTGATTTACTGTTTCAACATGACTCAATCCTTTTTATTTTAGGGATTTCGCAAGTTTTACTGATGTAAAGAATTTTTGTTGTAGTTATATTTCGGCCAGTATTTTTGTAAGGATTGACTAAACTACATTCTCTCCTAAACTTTGATCACTTGGTCTCATTTCATCTTTTCCTAAATATGGAAATCCGTTTAATAAGTATTTTGTCCTAACGTCTACTGCTAGCTAAAATTTTATTCCGAATTTATCGGGCTTGTTAGGCATATACTGCAAAAAACGGCATCTTGTTTTCGTAGGGAGTAACTGTTGATCAATCATAATTTTTTCATTTGGTTTTCATTGGTTTCATTTGGTAGGAAAGCTTACAGTTTTCTATAAAAGTATTCCATACCTCGGATATTAGTGCAAATTTATCACACTGCAAACTTGAGGACCTTGTTAGTTTATTATCAAAATGAAGAAATTTCATAATTTCCAGAAACCTATCTCTACTCATACTTGCATGAAAAAACTTTGGTCCTTAAGTCTTGGACCACAAACTAAGAATTGGTTAGCCCTTGGCGGCTAATGCCCCCCTTATGTAAAACAACACTATGTATGCTTCCAGTTCTGCTAATAAAATAGTGAAAGAGTCATTATGAATTTTACGCTTGGCTTCAGCATCAGTACACTCCTTTATGACGCATAAAATTTTTTCATTTATTATTAACTTCCACACACTAAGAGAACAAATGTGAAGTTTAGCATAAGATGTCAGTCCTGCATTTTCTCGCAAGATATTTTGCAAGGGTTGCCGACCAGAAGTATTTGAAGTATTTTTTACTTTCCATACAGTTCCATCACTAGCAATTTCTTTACAAGTGTTAGTCTGAATTACGTTGAATTTCATATTCCCTTTTGAGCATCTACTAGTTCCCGCTTTGGCATTCTTAGGTACGGCAGAATTTGAACTCATAGAAACAAATCCATTTGTACTTTCACTTGAGCTAGAGGATGATATTGCCTGATTACTCTCTATAATAAATTCAGAATCGCAAGATGTTTCATCTCCATCGTTATCTGCAGAATTATGTTCGATTTCAGAACCGGAATCGGCATCAGATAGTTCTTGCATCAGTTTCATGATTTCTTCATGCATTAGTTCTTTTCTATGCGCCATTAGTATGTCACTATAATAAATTCATATAAATAGAATAAAATTTTCCTGTTAAAACTTGTTATGAATGATATAAAAAATATCTATGAAAAATCTACAAACGTTTAGCTCGTAATAATCTCTTTTCTGTTTTCTTTCCACAAAGAAAAGTATTGCACATATTTCAAATCATGTGACTGATGTGAAACTACGCAGACCAACCATATTCTTTTCCTTTGTTTGTATTTTGTTTAGGTGCAAATAAAAATAGTTTACAGAAGTAACTGTGTTCAGATAATACAATGGAATGTATTCACATTTCTTTTCTCTCATAGGGGTCAAAATGACACCTGCCGTATTTCTAGGTATAAACATTTGTAAGGGCTAAAATAAAAATACGATTTTCTTGAAATCTTTACTATTTCGTAAATCACAATGATTTAGGAAAAGTCGAGAAAAGATTAAAATATTTGCAAAAAAAAGAAGAGCTGTCAGAGATAAAAGTTCGCTATGTGTCAAAATGACCCCTTCCATAATTCTAGTGTTAAAATATATGCTGTGTTTTCAGTCACTTGAAGCATTATTTATTTCATTATTCAGATAAAAAATTTTGTAAACATCCAGTACTATATTGATAAAAAGGTCAAACTGAATGCTGCCAATGGTATATAACAATCGTTATTTTGTATGAAATTTTATATCCTAAATATTCTGGTAGTTCTAAGAAATAGCATACATTTTCAATTTCAGAACTAAAATATTATAATAGATACAATGATGCAAATTATAAAAACGATTAATTTGACTACTTGTATAATTCTAATGTTAAGATCCCCTTCCATCTACAAAATGCAATTAAATTAACTTTCAAACTGATGGTTCATTCGTGATATTTGAGGCATAGTTGAATACAAGAAGTGATTTATAATTTGTTAGATGTATCAGATGTACACAAATTTCTAGGTAAATAACTGGAAAAAAATTTTCAGTTAAAATTCATGCTTTGTGACATTAGGTAATTTCATGTACAATAAGAACTCTTTATTTACAAAAAAGCATTTTATCAAGTAAAATGCATTTTATTGCAGAAATTTTTGAACATAAATAAAAAGTTATTAATTTCTTTCACAAAATAACAGGAAAGTTATAACCTTCTAACATTTCTATACATTTGAATATTTCACATAAAACAATGTTTTTAGTGGATTTAAAAGAGAATTTTGTGCATCAGTGTAAATCTGTATTCTAATTTTAACATTCTTCTAATCTTCAGCTAAGATAGTTCACTGTGTATGATTTAAGAACTACATCAAAAGAACAACACACAGTAGAACTAAGCAGGACCACAGCCTGTCCAGATATTCAAAAAATCTTGATAAGTGGGCTGTCTTTTCCTCTTGGGCCAAATATATATTTATTGTTAGGTAAGTAAGGGTACCTTTCTTGTATTGCTTTCACTTAAACACAATTAAAAAATTCAATAAATATGCACATATCTATAAAACAATACATATACTTTTTTAACAAAATTAAATAATGAAATTAATTTTTTTTTAATAAGGAACAAATTTTCATTTCAACTAAGTTAATACCATGAAGTTGAGTTTCATTCATGTAAGTCATATTCTTAAAACTAAACATATTTTTAATTTTACTACACCAAAATTAAACAAGGATATTGTTTTCTTTGTGTAAAATAAGCACATAAACTTCTACTAGCTAACATATTTTACCAATGAACTAATAAGCTAACATATTTTACCAATGAACAGTGATAAAAATATTCATAGAGGTAATAAAGAATAGTAAACCTTACATAATTACTGTTCCATTAATGTGATTATAAGCTACTTATTTGCCAAATATCACAGGTCAATCAATATTTTGTAAACAGTAACTGAAATTAATTTAACAGCTTCTTAAAAATATGCATTGTATGTACTTTTTGTATTAAAATCATGCAAATAAAGTAACAAGTCCATTATCACTTAGCCTAGAAGAACGAATATGTATCTAGTGTAGTGAAGACTATTGTCCTGTAAGGCAAACCAGTATCTATTCTATTGAAATACAAGGACACATGATAGTCTTAACCGGAAAGTCTCATTCCACAAAATTTGTACTTTAATGTTAATGCATGATATTGTGCATACATCTCATTTAGTGCATATTAACCCAATAGCTCTTGATAATTTGATGTAGTAGAACAAAAATTAGCATAAGAATATCATTAAAATTAACAGAAATTATACATATAAAAAAGATAATGGAGCTCACAACACTCCAATCCCCTCAAAAAATGCATGACATTAAACCAAGTAACAAAAATCATAATTTTGAAACAATCCTGCATGTATTTTCTTTAACATCTTAATAAAATACGTTTATCAGAAAACACATATAAAGGAAACTCTATATATTTACAATAAGGCCACTATTATATAGAAATAAAAACAGAGAACTTTAAACCTAGATACAAAAAATATACTGGCATTTAAAGTATTAAGAACTCTAAAAAAGTATTAGTTTTTTTAAAAATAAAATATTTTAAAATTCAAAATAATAATACAATATACAAAATAATAATTTAAAAAATGGGGGCAGGGGCTCCCTTAAAATTCAAATGTTGTTAGGAATCAGCATAGTCATTTGGTATTAGCAATCTACTTAGTTATTAGGTTATATAGAATTAAAAAAAAAATTCATGCAAATGCATACTGAACAATATTTGTAGGATTTGTAATTTTTTATAAGTATAGAATTAAAAAATATCCTGCATTAAATTTAAAGATTTCAGCATATTTATTACAATGAAATAATATTCAGTTACTTCAAGTACAATAGACTCATGTTAACAACATATTATGTTGGTTCCGAAAAATATTCTACAGAATTAATGTTAATTACCTCTCTGGTTTATAAAATTAAGTTATACATTTTGTGTGTGTGTTTTTTTTTATGGATTTATATTCTACCTTTCTGTTTACAGTTTTTTTACAACACTTAAAATTTAAAAACAATTTCCTGGTATTGTCTGAAGGACAGGTTTTGCAGATAACAACTGCAAACTAATTTCAATGTGCAGGTCCCTCCATGGTGTAAATGGAAAATAATAATGGAAATAAATGAGGACTCCCAAAAGGATTAAAACTAAAACTGCAGTTCAAGAAATAAGTAAGAATGATAAATTTCATGTAAAATCTTTGTTCAGAAATCCAAGTTCCTGAAGATATAATTTTGCAGAATAGAGATGAGAATGCCAATGCACGGGAGAAGCTACTGCTGCTAAAATATTGATCAGTATCATACATAAGTGTAATGGGACCATCTGACAAGGTAGAAGAATCAGCAAAAGTTGTTCAGTAGGCTGTATGTAGTGAAAACACAAAATGGTGGTCTGGGCATTTATTGTCTTTTGAAGCAAATTGCTGAAATGGTTGTCAAGAACAGACTTGCCAAATTCTAAACTCAAGAGCTTCTTCATTAAGAAACCAGATTTGTTTTAAGTGAGAAAGATAGTATTTATAGTTTTGTTTTTAAGAAACATCTAATCAATACCTGAAACTGTAATCATTAAATTTTAAATGGAATTAGTATAAAAGAACTCGTATATTAAAAAAATCATTAAATTTTAAATGGAATTAGAACAAAAGATCTCATATATTAAAAAAATATTCTCCTAATGTTTCACTGTAGGCCTGTTTTTTGCTAGTAGAAGTTTATCCAGTGTGTTTCTCTCACATTCTGCATTTCTGTGGGGAATTGTGAAGCTAGGCAACATTATTTCAAAGAGTTTGCCATATTTTAAAATTCCATCAGCTTTATCCAAACTTCTTTATTATAAATTGCAAAACTGTGATTGCAGTTTATATCTCTTGTCATAGCAATAACTTTATCTTTGAAAACTAAGATAAGTAAAACTGGAAATGCACTAAAAAAAAAAAAAAAAAAAAAAAAAAAAAAAAAAAAATCTTACATCAGAAAAATGATGCAGATGTTAAGTTAGAAACATCTGCAACTTTAGCACATAAAATTACTTCACTAGTAATTGGAAGTTTCTGTAGTATGCAATCACATCCTCAATAAAATGAAACATATAAATAAAATTTTCAGTCTTCAATTGGAAGCTGCTACAGAATATTCAATGACGGCAAAATAAAGCATTTTCAGACATATTTACTCCCAAAACCTTATGAACTTTTTTTTTATAAAAATGGATAATCAAAGAAAATGCCTATGATTTCTGATGACTTTTTATGGTGAAAGTAATGAAATAGTAAGTTAAACTAATAAAAATCTTGAAAAATATGTTGTTGGGTTGCCCGGAATGTGATCAAAAACTGGAGTCACCTGCATGTATTGGCAAATCTGCTAGTACTTTAATTGGATGGAATTACACATTTATCTGAGCATTGTTACAAACCAAAGAAAACTGATTTTTTAGGGGGGCATTTACTAACAAATGAAGTTTAGTACAAATTGTATTTTTCGCTTTTTAATGCCATTCCAATTTATCAATTATAATGATTTGTAAGAATTATTATTAGTAGTAGTATTAGTATTTGATATATGTAAGAATTATGGCAACGTATGCCCAAGAGCATCAACAATGAACAGCTAAAGCTTACATATTCATGCAGCTAACAAATTCATGTAACATCATCCAGGTCCCAGTTTGTTCATGCTACTTGACAGAGAAGCAAGTACATTCCCGAGGCAGGTTTCCTGGGCCTCAGGAGCTGCTGGTTTAAGATAGTGGAGGGCATTGGACATGTACCTGTTTACCTTTGTTAGACACCAGGTGTCCTCGCCACCTGTAATAGTTTTGTAAAATACAGAGTCTATTGTCTGATGTATAAAAGGTCTTAAATTCTAACAATTATAACACAACTGCACCTAATCAAGGCTCTGCTTTATTCAAACTGAATCTCTAACACACAGCTTTCTCACAGTTCATAAATGGCTTGCCATGCCATTATACTGAAAGCACAGCTAATCCAGTTTCTTTTACTGGTTCTCAAATGCCATCAAAGACACATTTTTGTATATTAACCTTTTGAAGACAGCCACTAATGGCACCTTGGCCATAGAGTCCTCTCTTTGAAAAGACGGGGTTTTAGTGGCCATGTCTTTTCCCCCGATTTTCCAGGCTGAAAAGTGGGGTGAAATGTCAAATTTGATGCTTTAGGGTTTTAACCACTTATCTCTTTCAAAGGTCTTCCTTTCCCGACATAGATGCACCCCTCTGAGAATCCATTAAACTACACACAAGAATCTTAGTTGCAAATAGGAGGTGATTTCTTAAAAAGGGGAAAGCATTGGGTTTAAGATTCCCCGTCCTTTGGTAGCTTTTGCTGCTACCAAAGTCCCGGCTTCAAAAGGTTAAACAGCAGGAAGAAACTACTACAGACACCATTTGTAAACTATTTAACATTTTAATTTAAACTTCAAAGCATGGCAAACTATTCATGTTAAAAAGCAGCTCAAATTATACAACCGCTTCCTTCAAACTAATGTGGTTTACCTAAATTAAATAATTCAAATAAACACTTTTTTTTTAATTACTGCACATATTTGCTGTATAATAAACGGCTATGGCATTATATTTTTCCTGAAATGAGAATTTTACTATACTGGCAAATTTTTTTTAACAAATGTTTAAAATTCTTCAAATGTATTGCATTAGCTTTTAATATATTGTATTACATTAGCCTAAAAAATGGAAAAACTTTTTTGTTCTATGCTGAGGTATTAGAAACCAGTTCAGATATTTAATAAAAAAATCACGTAAATGCAATAATTAAAAAAAAAATGACAAGGAATTTTTCTAAACACTCTCTTTTAATCATATGGTTTACACTTACAAGTTTAATAAAATTTCATTTAAATTAAATTCCTATTTATATATATTTTCTCCACTAACTACTGCAAGGAAGGAACATTCTAAAACAAGTTCAGCAGAATTGAAAGTTTCTTAGCAACATGCATTTGTAATCAGCACAATCACACATAGTTATAAAACATTAATAATATTTCTGGAAAAGAACAGATCATTTATGTTAGCATAAGCTGAAGCAAGAAAAAGTTTGCAGAAACTTGCACAACATTATAGCTAAGCTTCTAACTTTATCCTTTCTAAAATTAAGAATACATTGTTCCAGAGTTACTATATTAAAATTTGATTCACTACCTAGAGCAATATATTAATTTTGCATCTAAAAAAGATGAAAATGATGTATCATTTTTACGAAAAAATACATGGTGCTTGAAGTATATTCTAGTACTAGTTACTTCTCTTACAATGGCAAATTATCTTGTTACAATGGAAACTTGAAATTCGAAAACAAATATTTTAAGTAAAGCTAAATATGAGATAAAATACAGATATGTAATGTTTAAAAAATTTTAATAACAGTACCTTATTTTAAGTTAACTACGTTCCGATTTTCAGCACCAATTCAAGCTTTTCATCAAACAGTGAATTTCTTAGTATATTTTCGCACACCTAATATCGTAATTAATGCATATTTTGAACAGCATGATGTATCATAAGATTAAGAGTATATAAAATTCTAAAAATGGAATAATAAACGATAATGTTGCAGTATAGAATAATGACTTAAAAATCTACTAGCACACTAAAGATATATCTTTAATATGGAATAAAACTGGCATGATGCAAAATATGGAAGTTAAAAAAACATGTTTCAAAAATGATTATTGAAAATTAAAGCTTGTTTTACTTACTTTAAAGTACATAAACGCTAACTTTCACGAGGGTCCCCAAAGTTGGGATATTATAGAAAGAGAATCTTGGGCTGATAACACTTTATACTGAAACTAATGAAATTGCTCTTTAGTCGCTGAACATGTTAGTTAATTTTGATGCTCTTTTCTGTATAAAAATATAACACCTTCATTATTTTTCATGTAAGAAAAATTTCTAGTTCTTCCAGGTTTCCTCAATATAGCAGTATATATACATACACTGTTGCAAGACATACGCATACATAATATAGAGGTATGAAGGCAAACACAGAATGAGATAACTGTATAACTTCTGTACTTAACATTTTTTATCATGTTTATGGTAGTTACATAGAATGTGAAAGTAAAAATTATAATAATAAAAAAAAGGGTAACTGATATCTTTAAAATATATATGATGACATATCTTTTAGAATTATATGTGGCTAATTATATTTGCTAATTTATTTTTGCTCTTCAGAAATGGCATGCAGTTTTTCAAGTGATAAAATTTGAAAGGGGAAAAAAATACTGTACTTAAAAAATGGGTTTTTAAGTACAGTATTTAATGAATTAGGGATAATGTATGAATTTAATTTAATCAACTACATAAAATATCTTGCAGGGGGTTATTTTAATAATATGCTCACAAACTGCTTAGTTTCCAGTAGCAGCATTTTTATAAAAGATAAAAAAATGCCTAGTTCACTGATATTTGCATTAAATTAGGGATTTTTAATAACAAGATTTTTGTTTCATGAAGCAATACATATTTCAGCATATTAACAACACTTGGGCTACAATTGGCACAGAATAACCCTGCCCATTCATGAGTGAAAATAGATCTATTATAAAAAACTGAAGCAATCATTACACACTACAAAGCAATTAATTATTCAGCTATAATACACACAATATAAAACTCTACTTAAGAATGTTTTGTTGCATTATAACAATTTTCAACTTTGAAGGAATTTCATACTTTGACATTAAAGACACTTTGAAAGATTAACATAAAGGATGAAAAAATACATTTTTACATAAAATGACATTCTAAGGTTTTTTAAAATGGAAATTAATGGAATTAATTAATTTTTTAGAATGGAATTTAATACAGAAATTAATTTAGAACTGAATCCTAGAAATGAGTTATAACTGCTGAAACTTGAACAAGTCCCGGGGAAATTAATACTAGTAACAAAAATGCCACAAAATCCAATTCTTTATTTTTTACATTACTTGCCTAGTAAAATGAATTTTCTAATAAAGTTGCACTTGTACAACTTTATTAGAAATATAAGTAAGTAAAGTAATTGAAGTAAATAAAAATCAGACCTTGTACTTATATTAGGTAAAATATTTACTATAACATACAACACATAATTTAATTACTTGACAGTATTGACATTCTACGCTTATGTGGAAAAATAATAATTGATGTTTTCAGTAGTCAAAATGTATATTTATTTAGGTTTCATATCAAATAACTGCATTTCTGAACTCAAAATTAGAAGGGAAGAACCGGATTTAAAAGTTTAATATAAATAAAATTTCAAATTTTGCTAAATTCAGATATCGAAGCCATGCTATTTGTGTACTGAGTGAGGCATTTGACTGAGATAAAAAGTGTTCAAGAAGACAAAAATGAATAAAATTAAATATTAATGTGAAAGGTGATAAAAATATTTAGAAAATATGAACTGCAGATTTGTCTCAAATGTTAAAATCTTATCGCCATGACTCTACTGTAGTTGGGTAGCTACATTTGCAGTTTAAGTGTCCCGAAAAATAAAAAAAATCAGTAGCTCATGTTACAAAATGTGTCTCAAGCAATAAGATACAATAGAGAAGTAGCTGGTTAATTGATTAAGGCCAAATATAAGAAAGATAGCTGCATAAGGGAAGAATGTCAATGTGAAGGGCTTTCTAAAGGAAACTTGCTTGTATTTGTTCTATATGGAAAAAATCATACAAATATTTCTGCGATCATAATGAAGCCCAAATGTGTCTGATACAGGTGTCATGCTTTCTTAGTAACCTGCAATTTCAATTCTTTCCTTCTAACCTATTTATATAAGTTTTGCGTATTTTTTAAAAACAGTTTCAACATTAGGAATGCAGCACTTTGGGAAATATAAAATATGTTTAGATGGTCTCTGTATGTTCTATTAATAAAATGCTTATGTGATTAATGATTCTTCATCGAGTAAAACAGTTCCTGTTATCTAGTAACAGAAACTATTCATTACTAATATTTAAGTGAAGTCTGAATGCAACAGTGCAAAAATTTAGGTATTCAACTTATTAAAGCATAATGGATGTTTTGTTCTAGAGCAGTGGTTGTCACCCTTTTCTGCCCCATGCACCCCTTTCATCACTGCTAGATGACCAGCCTTCCTTTTCAATACTTGAAAAACACATACACATTTACTTTAGATTATTTTTTAATGCATTTTGCAAATTAAACAAGAAAACATTTAGAAAATGGTGATAATTACCAAAACTTGAATAAAAGTAGTTTTTTATTTTCATAAACTAAATACTTAACAGGTAAATAAAAGACTTATAAGGTATTTCTCCCACCTTCTTAAGGAGCCTTCATGGTGCAGGGGCCTTGTATGCTCAGCGCGTAATCGACAGGTTCGTGGTTCGATTCCTGGCGAAGGCGTTGCTAATTTTTCATTTCTTCTGCTTCCAAAAAATACCTAATGTCTCTAGGTTGACTGCATCCCCCCTAGTTCAGAACCCCTGCTCTAAAGGGATCATATTAAATGGTAAATTTATAGTTACAGCACATTTCTACCCAGTGGGCGGAAATTGTTTTCACAAATTTTTCTACTTTTTTTTTTTTTTTGAGAAACCTTACAATGAGAAATATATATCTAGGTTTGGTTTATTTGATTACAGCAAATCACTGGAGTGCTAGCTGTCTAAGGGGGAGGCATGCCTTTGTGAGAGCCTTTGTAAGGAAAATTGCCTTATACACATTACACACAGGGAAAACCAACTTTATGAGAAAGCCCTATTATTCATTTTGTTGACACTGGCCCGCTTTACTGGATAAAAA